AATATCTGACGTAACAATGCACACCCCAAACATTGTCGGCCTTTCTTAAATAGATATTTCTTAGGCTGATGAGATCGTAAACACAGTCTGCCTAGTGTTGTGTGTAAAGGTCAAGGGTTGAGCAGGGGGAATAGCCGACTTCACCGCTTAATTTTGTGGTGGAGGGGGTGGGGGAATAAGACTAGAGATTCTCATCAGATGAATTTCATGATTCTGCCACTCCACTCAAAGCGAAATGCTTTCCCCACTGGACTTGAGCCTTGTACGATCGCTATCTAAGAATAAGAATAATATTAATATCGATAACAATTGTAGTAATAAGACGAGGTACTAATTACTACTCTATTTCAGCAACGACGATTAACCATTGTGACCAGCATTAACGAGAATGAGTGTTTGAGTAGTCTCGCCCCAGATACTTTTCCTGTTGGGAATGTCTCTCATCACTCAGCCGATAGTGATGAGCGAACTGATGGAATTTGCACGGCTTTTGCATTTGCCGAATTGGGCTCCTTTTACTACGCCATTTGCAATTACCAACTGGCCTGTCGATTGGCTAATCTAGCTCTGAGAAGAATTTCCACGAAATCCTCTTCTCCCCGAGTTGTGATTCAGGTGTTACGACTCGTCTGTCGGATCTGCGTAATCCAAAGGAAGTTTGTCCTTGGAATGAAGATCATCCAGTTGGTTGCTCAGTTCACCAGGTTAGTTCTGCGCTTGCTATCGCCTAATACCTCTGTTGCTAGCTCTGGAAGCAAATATTGCTGGTGTATGCTGAAGACAATCAGTGATGAGGAACCCGACAAAATACACCATCATTTACAATGATGTGAGCTCTTGTTAGTTAACCCAAAGTTTCATCATACTACTAATAGACTTTGAGTCGCTTTCAACTTGGGTTCTTCCATCCCCCCCATCATCTTCTCCAAGAATTGCTTCTTCGCAGAATGTTTTGTTGCAAATCTTGTTTCCATACAATCGAGGACACAAGATTAGGCCACTTCTATTTTAATGACTTTGCGTAAGAAACGTGTAGGGAATCAACATTGTGATCCACGCCTCATGTACTTGCGATATTATTTATTCACTTCAGTCAAGGTCAAAATGCCTCCACAGGCTTCCCTACTAGTAATGGTGGCTGACAGTCAATAGTACAGTAAAGAAAGCACTTTTGGCTGTTGAATGGTATTTATCAGTGCTCTTGTCATGAATGATCCTCTAAGAACTCCCGACACTGAGGCCAGCTCTCTATTGTAACTAATGGTCAACTTCAAATGATCAGATTGTTTGTTCATAACCTGGGGTTGTGAATTGTAGACCCCTTGTCACTGCACACCTCTTTTCTTCTCCTCTCTAGAGAAACACTGGGTTCGCACAACATCCTCTATGCAAATCTTCTGCTTGACCATGCCTGTCTATTTCTCAATACAGATAATACCTCAAGAGCTTTGGAACTCTACCGGGTGAGTCCTCCTTCGTTAGTGATGCTAAAATAGTCCTGAGGCGGGTGGGGAGGAATGTATTGATTCATTTCCCATTGTATAAGACTCTAATCATCGTCAAACTAATTTCAAAATTGTACCTGCCACTCTATTTAGACAGGTTCCAAGTAGGTAATTAGTCAACACATTTTACTTCAGAGGGCTTAACCCTTTATCCTTATGGAATAATACGAGAGGTGTCATAGACCATTTGAGTTTAACGTAGTTTGTTTAAGCACTCCATGGCAGAAACTCACTGAGCGTCTGATGTTTGTGCCACTGATTGACGTGCTATTTGTACTCCATAGGTAGGTCTTTCAATTATGTTGGACTGCCTACCTGGTTTGAGCATGACAACTGCTTTGGCTCTAGAGGATATCGCTTATGCTTTCTACGTTCATGAGTACAATACAGGTAATTTCGATCTGGCTCGACTGTTCGCTGAGAAGGCAGTTGGAACGATCAAACATTTGGGCGATCAATGCTGTATGCAATACGGTTCGGCCATTAGGGTCAAAGGTCAGTTGCTGTCTCCACCCTCTCCTACCCCGTTTTTACAAAATAAACCCATTGTTAATTTACGGACTGACTGATTTGGAGTGCATAGTATAACAAAATTTTAGTTATAGCAATAGGTCACCTTGGCCTTATGATTTCTCCCATAATTTCGTTGTGGGAAAGTGTTTTTGACCATTTGCCATAATTTTTAGACCATTTTTGTCGACACTCCTTACTTGGCATATTTGAACCAGTTCGGTTGTGCATGCTTTCTACTGAGTGATCATCGATGCGAAGACATGTAACGCAGAAGAGCTTAGATATTGGTGTTTATGCATGTACCACGTTTGTGACAGTTTATTGGCAAAGTGGTCAAATGGCGAATCTACCAAGATCCAGCTCTCGAATTGGTTGCGATCAGTGGGTCCATTTCGCATCCTGGGCCGAATCAGGTCAAGGAAGAGACAGCAGAATTGGAGTTTCTAATCATATTCGCGAGGATGCTACTTCTTTGTCTTATTTGAAGGGGATTGAAGAGGGAAATGGGATCAGATCTGTATGATTTAGCCATCCTGCATGTGTGGAGTCCATATTAAAGGAGTCCTCTTTGAGTTGGAAGAATTTTTCAAGCAAAAAATTGAAGTTGTACAATTTCACTGCTGGTTGTGCACTCAGCTCCATCAGGGTTCCGCTTTTTTAATGTGCTCCCATTGACATTGAACTTGTGACCTCTTCACAAACGACTGGAGCACAATGTGTGCGTTTGGAATTAATGAAGGCTTATATCGTTGCTTTTGCGAGTATTTATCATTCGATTTCCTGAGGAAATCTTTTCTTCCTTTGACTAGCTCTGATTCTGGAGGAGATTGCATTATCCGAACCGCATCCACAGAGGAGGGAATCCAGACTCTTGATTGCAAAAGATATGCACTTACTCTCCCTCCATATCTGTGAAGAGGTATATTCATGACGTTGCTTCTTGTTACTCTCCAACTTTTTATTCTAGACATTCGGCGTGTGGAATGTTCAGACTGCCAAGCACATTGGCAACCTTGGACGAGTCTTTCAGGCTCTGAAGCGCAGTACCGTGAGTTGAACTTGACCAAATCATTTCGTGTGTGTGTGCATTATTTTAACTCGAGCCATAAGTATGTCTTATGAATTTAAGTATTTGTGGGTATTTCACTTTCTATTGTTGGTGAAAATGACGTGAGGGGTGATCTAACTATTGAGACTCCTCTTTTCTTGTATTTTTGTTAACTACGTCATTCCCATCCTTCATTCACCGATCGTTTAGTTGTTTGCCGTTTCCTCCCCATTTTTTCCATCAACTCGACTTCCCGCTCCTCACCCCTCCCCCACAATCTAACGCCTGCGTTTCTATCTTGAAAGGGCAATAGAGAAGTCTACCAGTTGTTAAATTGTCTGCACATGGCACCTTGACTTTGTGTGTGGTGTTATAGTATGCGTGGGGTGGATTTCCTATTAGCGATTGAGTCTTCGTGATCACATCGTCTTTCACACCAAACACTTGCGTGACAGCTATGAAGACTAACGATAAGGATTCTTAGAGGTTCCACCTCTTGTTCTGTAGAGGCATCTGATTATCAGTGGAGTTGCACTTTAATTAAGCGAGATTTGGAGTCTCAATTGGAGGCAAAATTTCTTCACTTCTGTAATAATTTCACCTCTCCCTTTCCATTCTTTTCCAACAGCTGGCGGAAAAAATGCATCTGAAGGCGATTTCGATCAAAGAACGCTTTTTGGGACCAAATGATTATGAGGTGGGTCTCAGTGTTGGGCACCTGGCCTGTCTCTACAATTACCACATGCGCGAGTATAAAAAGGCTGAGGCGCTCTACCTACGATCTGCTCAAATAAGTAAGTCCATAACCCCCTGCCTCCTCCCCCCCCCCCCCNCCCCCCCCCCCCCCCCCCGACCAATTCTTTCATCTACTACGAGAACAAGTTCTTTCCTGAGGTTGTGATCGGCGCATTTGGACACCTGAGAATCGAATTGCGGTTAGAGAGGTTTGCTTGGTGATTGGGAAAAAGTAGCTTTACTTGTCAATTATTGGTGGTCTGTGATCGATAGTATTTGCGTTGTCAAATTTCTTAAGCGAGTTTGAGGTCTTTCTATATCTATTGAAGAGGGCATCCAATTTATCATTTGTTTGTGACAAAGATTCCTCATTGCCAGAACGCTTATTTGACAAGCTCTTTGCTGCTTAATAAATTTATGTGAGTTTTTAATAACTGAAAGGTACCGACTACTCAGATCTCAAGGTGGTAGAGCTTTCTCTTCACTGCTGTCTGTTTGTGAGCGCACACTTCTAGTACGCTTGTGACTTATACCTTGACTTAGTGATTTGGAGCAAGTGCATCTCTGTTTTACTCACCTCCAATCCTTGTGAAATCCGCTTCTGTAACATGAGTGAGGCCGACACTAAGAGAATCAACTGACTCTTCTCAAGTGAGTGGAATGAGAAATTGGATGAACGACTTGGCGTATGGGCTGGTTGGAAGGAACAATACTTGTGTGCGCGTGCATAGTTGTTTTCCAATAGGAAGACTGTGTGGAAGCGAAGGAAATGGAGAGTGTGGTTTGTGCTATTGCAATGGAGAAAGTGAGATTGAATCGTTGGACTGAGTGGTTGGTTAAGAGCACTGACAGCCAGCATTGCACTGTGAGAAGGACAGTTTAGATCGATGCGTGAGTTGGGTGGAGGCTTAGCGATGACGCCATTTCCAGCTCGATATGTGGGTTGGGGGGGGGGGGGGGAGGGGTTAAGGAGCAACTTCTCAACTTTTGCAATATCTGGCGAGCACTTGTAAATAGACTTCCGTTGCATTTCATCGATGCGAAAGAGTCAAAATTTTTGCTAAAATGATGAATCACCTGATCACCTTTATGAGCAACTTTGTAGGTGCCCAGTTTTGGCTGTTTGGATTTATCAATAGCGCCATCTTCTTTATTAAAACTTGTGCATGGACTTGGCTGTTTTGAGAAAATGCGTTCCAACAAATGAGTAGTGTGTTGACTTCGGTTTCCTGTTAAGCAATACTCATTTCGAGTGGTTCTTCAGTTTGCTTGTTTGTTTTGTAGGTCTGGATGCATTCGGACCAGGGTACAGTGGATTGGAGTATGATTATAAAGGTCTTCAAAGTGTCTATCGGAAAATGAAAAACATGGAGAAAATGAGGGAGTACATCCGGATTTTTGACGAATGGAAGGAGTACCGACAGCATCACGAGCACATATTTTCAAGCACTGTTGTTGAGGACGCAATGGAAGGTTACCTTGAGCCTTCTTCTTCCTTTGTTACGCATCTGGACACCATATGGAGGGAATTCCGTAGCATATTTGGGACACTGTTGGGTGGTAATGGCGTCGAAGATACGTCCCAAGAAAAGGAAGGTGAAGGTAGCGGCTCCAGATGATTGTAGATGTTACTTGTAAATAGTGGCTTATTGGCTTCAAGCCCTGTGCTTTCATTCAAAGGCTGTTTTTTCTATTGTATTATTATTTAGAATGGAACCAGAATGATTGTTGTTTTGATTACTTAAAATGGTGGTGGTGGTGGGGCTGGGGAGGGGATTTGTGTCAAGCCCTTTATTTACCTTGAGCGCATTCATCAAACCTGGACTTCCATATTCGCTTACTTCATAATTCCCTTTACGGAGAAGGTGACAAACTTACTATTCAAATAGCTGCCTCTTAACCTCTGCAGAGCGATTGTATCTAATGTAAGTTGAGATTTGTGGTCAGCGGTTTTTTATTACGAGGAAGGGGGTGGAGTGATGGTGGGGGAAAGAGTTCAGTCCCGGTGTTCATTATTATTATTTCAAATTGCAGGCTTTATGATATTTATCATTAGCCCTTAAATTTTAACTTTAGCTTTGCCTATGGGTGTGGGGGTTGGGGGGGGGGGTACTTATACAGCAGTTAATGGCAGTTCATTAGTTGTCTTCTTGCTTCTGGGTTTCTGTCGTTGTCTTTAGAGCTGGACACCGAGTCTGGTGGGTCGTCTCCATTTCCTCC